CTCACCAATTGTCACAATAAGTGACTCTTCTAAAAAATTCAGGTAGGTGTGTAGTACACCTGTTTTGTCCGATGATAGTTCAGCCTACACCTGCCCCCCTCATAGGCCCAGTTGTACCTCATCTTAGATAGATTAAGATAGAGTAAAATAGCGATGAATGACAAAAAAAAAAAAAAAAAAAAAAAAAAGAGATTGCGATGAAGATAGGAAGGAGGGAAAAAATGTTAACATTTATTTTTGTTATATTCACCCGGTCATAAGTTTTCTCTTGCTCTAATTTCAATTAAATCTGTGAATCAATTTGAGAGAAGGAATTCAAAGAGTCAGAGTTCGAGCACTGTTAAAGACTTTGGTCTTGAATTAATACACCCAATAATCCAGCTAGAGACTCGTACTAAATTCAACCAATATTTAAATTTGGTGGAGGTCGAAAGATAAGTATTTTTAATAGTAAAGTGTTGTTCATTTGTTGATTGAATGCTTATATATATATATCCTTATACTATATAAGAATGAGTTTAGGACAAAAATTTCAACCGCAAGGGTGGGGCTACTTTGGGAATATGAGAATATTTGAAGTACAATTAAAGTATTGAATATGAATCATTATAGCTAATTTGATTTTTTTATAATTACTTATATGTTCTGTCAGACATTTAAAGTTATGGGTAAGTTTAACATGTGACAATATTCGATATCCGATTAAACATTGGGTACAATTGAATTCAGCTTGTGTTTTAGTGGAATTACATAAAAATCCTTTTAATCATTTAATTGGATTAACATCCAAGTCTCTTTATTTCTTAAAGCCTTTCTCATCAGTTATTTGCAAACTTATGATATATAGATGTTAAGACACAATTAATACTGGTTAGTAGAGAAGTTTGGTTTCTTGGCCGTTACCATAGTAACCCCCATCTATTCAAATTCTTTTCATTTACTTACAATTTTGTTCCACTACAATCATGTAGTCTATTGAATTCAGATGTTGCTATATTAGTTACTCATCTTTCCCATTTTGCAACATATTTTTCAATAGGTATATTTTCTTTAGCTAATCTACTTTTTTGGTTGTAAGAAATCTGTAATCTTACAAGTTGTATGTGCAACACTTTTTTTAGTGTTTTAATTCAATTGCCCATGTTAGATAGGTTTGATAGGGAGGAGATCACATTTATAATTGTTATTTGTGGTTTAGAATAAGTTTATCATCATAAAATATTTCATTTATAGATTGCATCTACTTCTTTTCTTGTTTTAACTATTAGTTACGGTAATTTTCAAATTGTTTGCTACTTTATTGATGATTCCATTTAGGCAAATTTTCACTTCATTTGATTTGCCAATATGTTTAACTATCTACTTAAAACTATTTAGCTGTAGATCCAAAGTATGTACTTCATTACTTTTAATTGTTTTCTTAAATTGAGTGGATTAAGATGTTTTAGTACTTTTTTGAGGTAATTATTCATCTAGAATAGCATGTTAGTTATTGTATATCTTTGCAACTAGATAAAAAACTGATGTTTTGTGATTGGAACCCTTACTGAGAAGGAGACGCTTTGCTATATGTCCTAGATCATACAATAAATCATAATTGATTGATTGGTTAATGTAACTGTTTCATGATGATATGCCTTTGGAATCAATATAAATCAAAGAATTGGGCTTGCAAAAATTGAAATTCCACTAGCAATGATTTCTTCAAGTATGCTAATTGTTCAAATCTCATTTATATGACAAGATAATGAGGTGGATTGCCCTCATATCAAAATCAAATTCAAACTAAACAACAAATTTTAATATCCCTAAAGTACATGAGTAGATATAAGTAGATCTTTTATTCTATTAGATTAGATGTAAAGTGGTTAATTGTGTTTTATAATTATATTTCAGTGCATATTATATTTTTTACTCAATATGTAATTTATGATTTTTCTGTTTAATATCACACAATAAAATTATCATACTTCAATTCTTATACTACAAAATACTAAATAATAATTATTAACTATTTTTAATTATAGGTACTAAACTCCCGCGCATGGCGCTGGTTTTTTCCCTAATATCCTTATACTATATAAGATTGAGTTTTGGTCAAAAAATAGGTTGAATTTCAACCGCATAGGTGGGGGCTTTCTGGGAATGTAAATATTGTGTATTAGTTTAAAAGGTTTAGGTACAAGTTAAGGAAGCATGTATTTGGGTATGTTTACTGAAATGACCTCATTTAATACATTTAAAGTTGTCATTGATGAACCATCTGGGTATTGATGGAATGTGTAACTAGTGTGCAACCGTTTTTGCATTTTGTACAACTCATATAGGTTTGTGTGTTAGTGTAATTACCGGAATATCCCTTAACTACTAATAATTCCCCTTTTCAGCCATAGATAATCGTTTGAGATGTTACTTTGTCTGAAACGTTTGAATGATAATCGAATTTAGGAAATGTGCCAACGCTTTCTCTATCAATGGTAGGAACCCATTTCTCTATCATTTATAATTTACATTTATGAGCAACAAACGTTGGTGAGTTTATCCCCTTTCAGTTTCAGGAGTTAAGTTTTCCCTTTTTGCCTTTGTTTACAATGATTTGCCTCATCGTTTTCTCTTCCACTCGAGCTCAACTCTAAAATTACCTATTATTTCGTCATTAATTACACCCAATTCAATTGCCGAACCGTTGGTATGTTAATGGCTAAACGGTTGATTATCAGTTTCTCCTTGTTTGCATTCTAGAATTGGGATAATTCTACCTGACTTCATACTAATCAGCTCAAAATGCTCTTCAATCCCAGCTACTCCTGGTGGTTCAGCATGAGGTTAGATTTCACCCTCTCAATTTTTCAGTTCCTTCCTTAATTTTGTCGATGTGTTCTTAGTACCTACAATTAGCGACTCTTATCGCGTTACCTAGCTACAAGATAACATTTTTCTCGTCGCTTAACCCCAATTGGTCTGGGTTGGTTATAATCTTGTAGGTTTGGAGCAACAGCAAGTAACAGCTCTCGGTGGGGATTCTGGAATAAGGTTAGTTTTCTGTATCACCATACATTTCTGCATTATCAATGACTTTCAATTTGACACAGTTTTATTATAATTTTGTGTGAATTGATTGATTATGTAGTTTATTTTTTCACACTAAATTTTATTTCTTCTCATAATGTACTATTGTTTGTTCAATAAAAAACCCTCATTCCCTACAGGCACAAAACTCCCGCGCATGGCGCGGGCTTTTTCTCCTAGTATATTATATAAGAATGAGTTGTAGTCGAAGGGAGGTTTGAATTTCAACTGCATGGATAGAGACTTTTTTGGAAATATAAAATGTTGTGTATTTTTTTAAAAACTCTTGGTACAGCTAAGGGCAACATATGTTTGGATATATTTACAGAAATGCTCTCATTTTGGTACATTTAAAGTTTTGATTTATGGAGATATCCGAGTATTTAAAAAATATAGAATTATTTTGCAATCATTTTTGCATCGAGTACAACTTATATAAGTTTATGTGTTGGTGTAATTACTGAAATAGTGTTATAGATACATTTAATTGAATTGTGACTTTTATTGTGCAATTAACACAAAAACATTAATAGTGTACAAAAGCATTTTGGGCGATTTTTAACTGGCATCTATAGGGATCATTTGAAAATAGTAAAATTGCAAAAGCATTAATATAACAAAGTGTACAAATGTGTACTGCAATTAGAATGTAGTATTATTAATTTTATCATATTTGAGAATTATTTCTTATCAGAATATACTATTATTTATCCAATAAAAAATATTCTTTAACCACTCGGGCCTCCTGGATTTAATTTCACAATCGGGCCTGAGTTGCTATTTCCCTTATCTTTCTTTTGGTAGAAATCATACGTGTGATTTGTAATCAAATTTACATTGGTTTAGGCTTGGACTAATCGGTGACGTGGATCGACTCCAGCGCGAGTACATGATGCTAGAAATGATTTTCAAGTAGAGCTTAAGGTTGGGTTTAAGAGCTTGTGAGCTCGATCTTGATCGGTCTACTTGAATCGAGCTCAGACACAACAACGCTACTAAAATCAACAAGTATTGTTTTAGAGTACTTCAACAAAGAAACACTCGCTGGATCGATCCAATTGAACGCTGAATGGCACCCGGCCTAACGCACGCACCCAAGAGCAAGAGGAGAACATCTCCACATGCAGCCGACACACGTATTCACTCCTGTTACTGTTGTTGCTTCAATATTGGGAGGGAAAAGATGCATCAGGCGATGGGCACTACAAGACAGACAGACAGACACCAAAGGGACCACTGTACCACCAACTTCTTTCCATGGGTGGGTTTTGACCCCTCCGCTCTCTCCCACTTTAATAATAATAAATAACAAGACGACCAACCAAGGCTCTATTATATATTTACAGCCCCCCCAAAAAAACACACTAGTTGACAATCTGTACACTCATCATCTGTATTATGTCTTTTACCTGAATCCACAAAATAATAGTCTGCAGTCTGTAGCATCAAAATAATACTACTATCAGCTTTGTGATGGATGCGATTAAAGCACAACAGAGGAGATGGCAACAAGAATTGAGGCTCTAAAGGCAGCATAGGCTTTCCTTTTTTTTTTTTTTTTTTTGGGGTTACAAAATCAGCAATAGAATAGACTATCTATCGAAGCTCATCGATTACATTCATTCCACAAACAGCGCGCGAACAAATTCGGGACCACCCACCCTACAGAGGGAATCTATTGATTTTTTCCGTAAAAAAAAAAAAAAAAAGGCTCGAGAGATAGAGAGAGAGGAGTCCTATATATATATATATATATATATATATATACACATTGACATACCATATCAAAGTACGGAGGGAGTAGTAAAGAGGTAGTGGTAGTAGAGTGCATTTACCAGAACAGGGGATTTGAAGTCTAACAAGTCCCCATCCATTTTTGGCAAAATCAATTGTATGATTCCCCATGCAGCTCAAGCTGACACAGCATAAAAAACAACAAAACAAACACCACCGATGCTCTCGGCTTATTAATACTAAATTAAAAAAAGGCACAAGCGTACTTTCCCAACAAGTTAAAGCAAAGTGGAAGTGAGTTTAGCTCCAGGCCCTATGGTACTTGTACATCATAATATACTATATACTACTACTTTCATCGCCAACTTGCTACAAAAGTACACACCTTATCTGATATATACAACAACTAAGGAGATCATCTTCCACAAATCAAGAAGGTTCTTTTCAGAAATGAAATGCAGCAAGCAGCTTTATTAAGGTACTGTTATGCAGTCGGTGATGAGCCATGCAAAGAGAATCATAATACCAGGGGGATCATATCATGCTTCTCCTTTATCGATAGGTAGAGGAACAAAAAACCTGCAAGTGGAAGTCTTTTTTCCTTTCTATTTCTTTCCAGATGACGAGGAGGAGGTTTTGCTAGCGATAACTGGACTGGAGAGAAAGCTATATATTGAAACAAACTCCAGTATGCGACATTTCCCTGCAAAACTTGATGTTAGAATCCTCCTCCCAACTCATCAGCTACCCAAAGGAACCTGACAATTTTAGACAGAACTCATGGAAATGGGATTAAAAATTTAACCAAGAGCAGCAACTGATGCAGTCTCTCTCTCTATTAGGATAGCTCGAGTGCTATCATCCCATCCCCATGCCCATGCCCTTCAAGGGTCCAAAATGATTTAGGGACAAAGAGAGCAAATGCCCCTCCCATAGTGGTTTCTCTACTCCTGCAAAGTAAAGTACTCCATTACCGGAACATACCCACTTAAATTAGCTGACACATTGCAGGAGAGGACATGACAATTCACAGGTTGCATGGCAGGCCCCTCGGTAACATGTTTCTGAGGGAGTATGCCTGTTAAAGCCAGCCGGTACAACACACACCACAATCACTTCACTGCGGGGATATAATTTGCAGTGCTCTACAATCATGCTAAGACCGCGGTCAACTCAAAACCTAACATCTGGAGTGCAAAAGGAGAATGGTTAAAGATGAAAGGTGCGGTGGTGGATTGCAGTAAATGACTAGTAACATCTGTAATTTTGATAGCCCGTACGTCAAGCAGAATTACATGCCAGAAGAAAGCATACCAGTTTGACCAGAACTCAAGGATCTGACCAAGGACGAATTTATAAAAATATATATATATATATATAGATAGTCCTGCGTGAAAGCAGTTCTCCAATAAATGGGAAATGGAAAAAAGTAGTAATAAGCCCTCAGAAGCTCATGAGACAAGCCATGTTAACGAACAGTAAGATGTTCTAATCAGGGTGGGGAGAAAAATAAGCTTGACATTTCAAAACAAGTACACAGTAGGAAACATTTGGATCAGAGAATAGTAAAGGCAACACCAGGAGGGAGCTCCCTTCAGTCCAAGCACAGACGGAGCCGGTAGAAAATTATCTCCCGCATCATTCACTCAACCACAGTAGCACAAATCTTATCTTTCTACTGAGTGGTTAAGTGAATGAGTCGGCAGCTAATTCAACCCCTGATCTCATCCATGAGTGGGCTGAAGGAAGCTCTCTCACACAATTTCCTAATGACACCATTCAGCTGCTATTAGTCACACTATTAATCGCATCACTCAGCTGCTCAATATGTATCAAATTCCCCAATGATTGAAAATGACCAGCAAGTCATTATATGACCAATTTGATCCTCCTTCACCTCTCAATGATAATTAAACCATATTAAAATTTTGTTAAGTCTGCATCCATTTAACCAAGAAACCTAACGGGAACCTTTCATCCATCATTCACATTGAACAGAAGGACAACTTTTAAATTCTATCCAGACATCAACGTAAAGTCCAAGGATCGATTAACGCTGCTGTTTATGTCATCACCAGCAACCGGCATAAACCACACAGGTGCGAAACAGATTTAACATAAAAGGAGAAGATCAATTATAAAGCAACAGGCTTCTTCGGGCTTGAAGTAGTTGTGCTGAAATGCAAATAACCTGATCTTATTTTGAAGTAGTTGTGCTGAAATGCAAATAAACTGATCTTATTTTGTTTCTTTACAAGGCTTCAAGGAACACATGAAATGCAATAAGTTCAAAAAGCAGCCGCAGGAAATTCAAATTTACATCTTGTTCTTCATGCACAATCCAATTACACAATGGCCAAACTACAATACAAAGGATAGCTCACAATAATTGGCATAATGGAGAAAAGTGAACCCCAAATACAAAAATTATCGGGAAGTGATACTAACATTACTCATCCCAGAACAAAGCTCAAAAGGCTGGCACTTTGAGCAGCTGATGAACATAAATCTAAAACGGCCTTTATTCTTAAGACATGGTGAAATTGGAACCTAATTACTAGCAAGGAGTGCTAGGAAGCAACATCAATCATAAAGCGATTTGCCTGAAATCTAGAAGTAAAAAGGAAACAGAACTACGTAGTACTACAGCCATGGGGTCAATGCTTGTGGAGACCAAAGAAACATGGAGTCAAAACTTTTTTTTTCCCTTTTAATCCCTTATTGCAAATAAACTTAACATTCATCTAAGTAAACATTCTTATTATTACCGGGCAGAGTCAACAGTTATGCAACCCTAACCTGAGTAATGAGATTGAAATAAGAGTTAAAAGGAAGAAAGAAGTCGAGAGCCGTAATATTTTCCACATACCGTAAATCATCAAAGCCACAAAGGAACCAGAAAATCAATAGCTGGCCATTACTAGAACAAAAGAAGAAGAGGCTAATGCAGACGAGAACAGGAGAGACGGTAGGACTCAGCCCAAGTTATTCAAACTATATAGAGTGATACAAATGAACGCTCTCTAAAACAATAGACTCATAAACCAGCAGTAGTAAAGTAAATATACTACCAAAACTGATACTCGGAATACTTGTGGCCAGAAATTTTGGATGGAAACCCTAAGCTTTTTGTGATGCCTAAATTTACCTAACTTTTGAACACCAGATTAGGGGCATATATAAGCCTCTGTGGATGAGAGTTGGGTTGAATAGAAAAGAACCGGCAAAACCCTCAACGGAAGGGATAAAAAGATGGTCAGTTCAAAAGATGTGTAGAGGAAGGAAGCAGAAAAGGAGACCCGGAAACTCAAAACATACAGGCATCAGCATATGCCTATAAGAAGGGCGGTCGCATGAAATACGGAAGACCGCAATATTAAATCAGAGAGGAGGAGGAGGAGGATATGATAGGTCGCTTTCGGCATGAGAATCAGGGAAAAGAAAGCGACTTAAAGATCTACAACCAAAAAAGAAAACCGTAAAGAAGAGAAGGAGAGGAAAGAATCAAGTCAGAATGAAAAATGCACATAGATTGATGATGGATGTTACGGTTCATGATGTCTGCTGAGCCAGCTGCAGCAAGCCAGTAAGAAAGCAACCAAGTAGTACTCCCCACCACTCCCCACTGCAAAATGGTCTGAAAAAACGAAGGAGCAAAAATGAAACTCCTCCATTTCAAACTCAAGGGCGGCGAAGATGAAAGGAGAAGTTCAGGGAGAGAGACGGTTAATGTACACAGCTGCATACTGCATAGCAGAGCGGTGTTTGTTGCCGTGCTGCTTGTTCTCTCCATCTTTTCGCAAGGTATTAGTAGTAGCATTTTCCACTATCTGGGCTGCTGGGAGTGCAAGGGGCGAAGAGGAGGAACTCCAAGGGGGAGGACTGAGGCGTGGGTTTTTTATTTGTTGGTGGCCTGCCTGCCGTGGCGGTGGGCTGATTCTTTTTTTTTTTTTCATTAATTTTTTTTCGGTTATGATACAATATGATATGATATGATATATGTGCTTTTTGTTCTTGGGGAAATATTTCGGCAGATTGACGGACAATAATCTTCGTCGATCTCAATTTGTTTTAGTACAAAAGGGGTACCCCACTCTATAGTGAAAAAAACAACAACGACAGTAGGATGCATAATGGCTTGTTTAGTACTGACGGTACTAGAGTGTTTTTGAGGCTTGTTTAGTTTCAATAAACACAATCAACTGTAGATAATATTATTAATGTATTTTAGAAATATTCTTTTTTTTTTTCGACAGTCTGAATTGACTTTTACCGAAATTATAAACCTAATCCCAGAACAGTACTCAAAAGCCGGCAACTCTTGAGCATGTCCCAGGGACTTATAACCCAACAAACCCCAACCCCAACCCCCGATGTGGGATATCAAATCTCCACAAGGGAGCCTGCCCTCGGACTCTTTTGAACCCGCTGACACGGACTCTTTCAGCCGAACTTATTCGAACCCTCACTCCCCCACAGAAGCCGATGTCTTTTTTTCGACAGTCTGAATTGACTTTTACCGAAATTATAAACCTAATCCCAGAACAGTACTCAAAAGCCGGCAACTCTTGAGCATGTCCCAGGGACTTATAACCCAACAAACCCCAACCCCAACCCCCGATGTGGGATATCAAACCTCCACAAGGGAGCCTGCCCTCGGACTCTTTTGAACCCGCTGACACGGACTCTTTCAGCCGAACTTATTCGAACCCTCACTCCCCCACAGAAGCCGATGTCTTTTTTTCGACAGTCTGAATTGACTTTTACCGAAATTATAAACCTAATCCCAGAACAGTACTCAAAAGCCGGCAACTCTTGAGCATGTCCCAGGGACTTATAACCCAACAAACCCCAACCCCAACACGGACTTATATACGGTTTTTTTGTACTATACTATTATGCTATACTATATATATGTTTGGGATACCTTCCAAAATGGTTTCGGGTTTGCCCAAAAAATGATCGACACATGGCAAAATAGGCCATGAAGTGCGGCGCAAGATGGAGGGTGGCAAAGCCGTTGGAGGCTAATAAAGGTTCGCAATTAGAAATGCAAAATGGTTGAGTTTGAATTCGTTAAGCATATTTTTTTTAGTATTTAAACTTAATCCAATTTTAACTCGTTCGAACGCAATTCTTATATAATTATAAATAAAGAATACAAAAGATATTTTGTATTAAAAAAAAAATCAAATCATACAAATATATTTAAAAATTCATTCAGCTCAAGATTCAGATAATAAGGCTTGGGTTCGAGTTTTGAACGAACAAGCTCGCAAACAACGCGATCAAGTCGGACTAGTCGGCACCCCCTAGTTGTAGCCTTGCCGTTGTTGTGGGAAAGGATAGTGTGAGTGATAATTCCAAAAGAGTGATAAGGATAAGGTTAGAGAGAGAGAGAGAGAGGGAGGTTGGAGGGAGGGGCGTGCCAGCGTCATTTGGAGAGGGCCGCGAAGGGAAGAGGGGGTAAAGTGGTGAGAGGGATGATGCTGGTGATGGGAAATGGGGCAGGGACGGGTGCAACCGTCCCTGAACGGTTAATGGCCATGATTTGATCTCAAAACTTTGTGCGGCTGACATTACAAGTTGTAACTCGATTTCCACGTCATGTGTGGGTCTCACAAAAATTTGCTCTAAAATTATGCGATGTGCAAAAAAAGTTACACGATGTATAAACCGTCCCTGCGTTCACATGTCACTTGTATGTTGTGAAATACAGTAGTATTACCTAATAAATAAATACAGTACTAATAATATAGCTGTCCACCGTATCAACCAAAACCAAACCAGTATTAATTCTTGGCATTTGCTTTGTGATGCGAGTCAGAAATTACATATCCATCATGCTTTAAGCAAGAAAGAATTCTGCAGATAATTAGAAACCCCATTCTCAATTGGGAGGAAATCCAGAAAAACCGCATTCCTTTCCCAGAACAGAAGATTTTCTGAAATGCATGGTGCCCTTTTTTACGTTGATGATGTATTTAGTCTGCAAGAATGTGACCTCTTGTCGGCGCTGCGTGGTTAGCAAATGCTGCCCCAAAATTCTAAATTAGGCGGCGAATGAATGCATTGAGCATGACAAAGATTTAAACCCCTTCTTTGACATGGTGCTTGCTTCGGACAAGCACGAGAGCTTTGCTTTTTTTTTTTTTTTTTTTTTTTTATAAAAAAAAAAAAAAAAAGTTTGTAGACACCCACGTATATCATACTCCTAATATTTATAAGTTGATTTAATAAAATGAATTAATCTTGATAAGTAGGTGAGAGTTTATGGATTCAAACCTTATCTTTTATCATTTTCATCATTTGTTATAATATGTGTGGTTTCCTCAAATTCATACAGTTGCGTACTGCACCCATCTGATCCGATGGTGATTCAGTTTTCATCGGTTTCCCTATAAGTTCAGTTGGGCTTCCTTTTAGAATAGACTAAAGTGAGAATAAAATAGATAAATGATAAATGACAAAAAAAAGAATTAATGTTGTATACATTAATGTGACAGTGTATTCTTAAATGAATGATAAGTATATAAAAAAAAATCTAATTTTTGCATATGTATCGTAAATTGAGTTGAGCGATGACAGCGTATATATTATCATGTCATGTCGTGTCATTGTAGATAAGATTTAGCTCTAAAAAAAATTTACACGTACAACACACAGTTTCGTGCAAGCACACCAAATATTTATCTAAAAAAAAAAATCCCAACAATCACTATAGCAATCCAAATTTATACCTGGCGTGGTCCTTGATACAGACCGTTACTGTTCCAAGAAACCCACCTGAGTTGTAAGTGGGACCCAATTCTACTCTTTTCCGGAGTTCCATTATTTATTTACAGGTACAAAGTGACAACCAAAAACCCATCGGAAATTACCCAGCTATGTTTGTCGTCCGTGCCCATCCATCTGATCAGCTAATTAATTACCCACTTGTACTTGTACTGGTCCAAATTTATTACGGCTTCAGAATTTCTGCATTTAGGTTGTTGGAAATCGGTGCTGAAAAATGCACCTTGCCATTTAGCCCTTTTTTTCTGTGCCTTGGTTGCTCGCTTGCTTCCCGGCCGCCGCTTGGAAGAAGAGAAAGAGAAGAGAAGAGCGTGAAAATGTGCTTTGCTTGAAAATGCCGGTTTCGGTGGATACGGTGGTGTTAGACTAGACATGGCATCGAACTTTTTTAAAACATGATACTCTCTCCGATTCATTTTGATAGTTCTATTTATTTTTTCATACAGTTTAAAAAAAAATAATTAATTTTATTGAAAAAGTAAATTTAGATTGCTATTTTCTTAAAATACCCTCACATCAAATATGTACAACTTTATGAAAACTTGAATTGATGATAAAAAAAGAATCAAATCTCATTAAATGGGATAGGTTTATAGTAACAACTATTTACATTGAATAAGAATATTTTAAAAAAATTAAAATACAACTACATTCTTCAATTGGAAAATATACTATAATTTGGAACAAATAAAAAAGGAATAAAAGATGTACCATATTTAAAAGTCGTTTCGTTGGATTGCTCTTTGAATAGAATAAAAGGGAACTCTTATCTTACCTTTAATTGTAGGAAATAAAAGATGTACATTGCAGGAGTATATAGTCGGCCAAATGGAGCGTCAGGACAATCGTTTGTAGATTTTGTGTTTGGTTCTTGTTGACTATTTCAAGATGTGATGGAACAATTATTAAGGGTGCAAATTTGGAAAGTGAGAACTAATGCGTAACTTTTCTGTATGGGATAATTTCAGAAACCTTCCCTCGAGAGATTTCTGACACTTTCATTGATCTCTCTTGAGGTTTCAAAAATTACGCTAATATCTCTCGAACCTAAAGTTTTGGTGACAGATCAGTCCAATTCAGAAAAAGTACTATTAAAAAAGTATTTTGAGGAGTGAGATGATAATTTTCTCCCATATATGCCTTTTTCTAATTGTCCTCAAGTTGCATTAGTAAAGAATAAAATAATTAATAAAAATCAAGGGATATTTGTAAAATTTGAAAACATGTAGCAACTATAACCTGAATCAACAATGGTATTTGCACACAACTAGTGCAAATTGTAATGGCCATAATTTTTTGTCATATGCAACTACATATAAAAGACACAACTAACTCTATAATGCTAGTAAATTATTAATACAAGCATCTAAATTTGGGGAAAAACTTAATTTTTTTATTTAGTTAACGAGGTGAAAGTAAAAGTATTGGTGTAAAAACCAGAAAATATACAAATCTTAGTCAATAAATCAACAACAAAAGGAATAAATAGTTTTGTCTGAACACCAGATTCAATAAAATAAATCAATCAGAAAATTCTTCTATTTCTCTTGCTTATAAGACCTATCTGTGTATATTATTATATAAGGTTGTCTGTCCTGACCATTGTCAAGTAATTATATCAATCACAAAAATAGCGCAATCTTGGACTAGCAATTCATTCCATTTTTTAATTGTAATTATGGTTGCTAATTTGAGATGAAATAATATTTGTTTGGTTTAATTAGTTAATCTTATTTATTTAGTGCCCTAACCTTTTTTTTTGTCAAATATCTATTTGTAATAATGCATAACGTCTTGGGCCGAAGCAGCACTTTCACTATATCTTATGTAAGTAATGGATCTAAATTTCTGACAAGGAAGATTAGTGTAATATTTAAAACCTCAGTGGAGGTTTGCGAAACCATTCCTTTCTAAATTGCCAACTTCTAGGGTTTTCATGAAAGCTTGATGGCCATCAGACTTCTTCAAGATATGCCACCTTAAAGCAATTAGAAAATAAACAGGAATTCCAGTGCAATCACTCAAAATATGACCGTAACTTTTTGACTTTGGATGTACGATCCTCTGAAAAGAGGAGCTCAAAGGACACGTTATATGACGACAAATGGGGTTATAACGTTTGAAAAAAAAAAAAGAGGACCTTTTGTTAAGCATGACATTTTCCACGCGAGTACTTAGGAGCATAGATGCTTCTAATTTTCAACTTTTCTTTTAAACTTAAAAGATCCAAAATCCTATATACATATATAAAAGGGAGTTATAGTTTGTCCGTTGGGTGATTTTTATTTGATATTTTAAGGGGCAACAATTTAGAGATTGTATAAGCATCGTACAAGTAATCCACTTACAGTACAAGCGGGCATGCTCATTGGGATATGAGTTTACTAAAGTGCCCTTTGTGAGATGATGATTACATTCATAAATGGTAGTTATGTGTTGTTAATGATAAAACACAAAGGAAGTGAGGTGAATTGAGGGAAAGCCATCCTATTGAATTAAATGTGTTTAAGACAATATTAATTGGCCAGAGTAGAAGAACCATTTGAAAACTCTTTGTGAATTGTAACCGTCGGAAATTTTGTGCTCTTCATCGTTATAGTTTTAGAAACATTAATTGCATTCTTCCAACA